TCGTAAACTGTTCCACGTTTCGAGATATTAAAAAAAATCTCACGCTAGGGAAAACATCAACTTCTGCGTTCATAAAAATCCATTGAACAAAAGAACGCGATAAAAGATGAAAAATATCATCAAAAGTAAGTCACGTTTGCTGTCTTTGCATAACACGCATAGCGTACAAAAAGTTTCTGTAAATAAAAACGAATCGTTCTTTCTTTTTTTTTTTCTTTTTGAAAGCGGTACAAGTCCAAGTTTTTAGAGAAAAAAATGAGTTAATGACGGTTTTTAGTGAGACATAGATGTCCTTTTTTAATATCTACAACAACAAAGTCAACGATACTCTCATATAAATTTTTTCAAACAAAGTAATCTTTCATATAGAACGAACTCGAAACTAGATCGTCAAAAGTTCTAAGCTTTAAAAGACCAAAAAAATGGATCATACGATCTTTTCTTTATGAAGTTACATTAGTTTAAATTTTTTAATTTTTTTGAACTTCGACAATTTTTCACCTTTTTGTACAGTTACGCTCTTCGCTGTGCGTAACACAAACACGAAAGGATCCGGTTCGCGCGTCTACGTGACTTTCAATTTTAACACGTCCACGGATCGAAAAGTTTCGGTCGCCGGATTGCTAAATCGCGTTAGCCAGGGTGACCAACACCCATGGGATGTCGGAGTTTATAGAGAAAATAAATCGGTAAACTCTTTCGATGGCAGGAGAGACCAACAGGGATCCTCGCGTGGTCGGTTAGACTAGAGTCTCGCACGAAATGTCTAGCCTCCCCCCCCCCCCCACTCCCTTCACTCCTCCCCCACCCCAAGGTTCAAGGATACGTGGAGCTCGTGCAAAAAACATACACGGCCAGCAGAATTTACGTCGTGCACCGCGAGCATGCTCGTTCAAAAATTTATTCGCCACCGCGCCGAACGTATCATTTATACACGGTGATGTTTGTCTTTCGATCGAAGGAAATGGAGAGAAGTCTCTCCGCTTTCGCTCTCCCGAGCGTGAAACGAACGTCTCCTTCTTCCGCTTTGGCCAACCTCGCTCGATCACCCTGCTCGAAACGCGGTTCTATTTCAAATCGATTCCTCCGAGAAACTGACTTTCCTCGATCCTGCTGTTCTTTCGACAGAGAGGAACTTTATTTACAATTTTTCCCATAATACTGTCAATGTGCGTTCGATCTAAAGAAGTTAAATTTGAACGTCTGAGTTAAAATTTCAGAGAACTTGAAAGCAATTTGCTTTCTCGAGAACTCCATTGGAACTGTAATTTAAATTGCAACCAGTGTGACTCGATACTAACGTTGTTAACGGGTTAATCAATGTTATTTTAAGACTTTTATGGTCTTTTGGTAAAGAGTGAAAGTTGGCCAGTCCATAGAAATCAACGAGATTTACTTTACGACTCTCATTTATTTTTTTCTAACTTTTTCATTCAGGGTAAATAATTTTTGGAGAGTAGACTAGACTAACGTCCAAAATTGGCCAATTTTTACTATTGTTTTTTTTTTTTTTTTTTTACCAACGAATGGAGTTAAATCATGAAACCTGACGTGACAAGTGAACGGGCACACCGGTCAATTACCGATGCAGAGAGTCTCGCGGTATTAAACAGTAACAGCTGGCAGATCTGAATTAACGTCTCGAGCAGCACACGCTGGCTCTTTGTTTCTCGTATCGGCGATCATATGTTGCCGTCACCTCTTTGTGCCTCGTTATACCGAGTGTTCTAAAAATAAATACAGGAAAGAAAAGCCTATGCTCTGTAATAGAATTCTACTTTATGTTCGTCAAAAAAAAAAAATTGCAACCTGAACAAGCACAAATAAAAATCAATGATCTTTTCCCCTTCTTTTATTACCATTGTTAATATGATACAATTTATTTTTTATTTTAACTTTTTTTAAAGCGACAATTTCTGGAACAATTTTCGAATTTTTATTACAAATTTGTATTGTCACTCTCAAAATAAAAACTGTTGGGAAAGAAATTACATTTTTGACATTTGTGATGCACCAAATTCAATTTAATTGTTAGACAAAATGACAACTTGACACTTAACCTTTTGAACACACCGCAGATGACAATACAAATTTGCTAAAAAAATTTGGAAATTGTTCTAAAGGTTATTGCACTTTAGAAAATTATAAAAAAAATAAATTATATTATATAAAATGATAGTACTATTATTAAACATATTATTGTTATACAATATTATAATGACAATGTAAAATTGTTACATTACTAATAATATATAATAATATATAATAATATATATAATATATAATAATATATAGTAATATATATAATATATAATAATATATAGTAATATAAAAATAATTACATTACTGATAATAGTAATAAATAAACAACGTTAATTTACCTTAAAACAAATGTAAGTGGATGCGCAACAAATACAATTGAAAATAAGTCGAGTTCAAACAGAATTTGAGGATCCAAGGTTTTATTGTAGCAAATTCACTTTTTATAAAGAAACGGCACACCATACGTCAGATTTTCTGCGAACACGAACAACGAACATTCATCACGTTGGGTCTAAAACACCCTGTACACGAATATCGGTGGTCGAATCCCCAGTTCTGCCGCACTGTAATTGGTGCATGCACCTATCGATCGATGCTGAAAAACTGGAGATCGAAAGTAAACGAGTCCGAAGTTCAACGATAACGCCGATATCGTGAGAAACCAGTAACCAGGAAACGAAACGAAAGGAAAGTGACGAAGACGACGCTACAATCTATTGAGCTGGCCGAAAAGTAATCGCATTCTTTTTTTTTTTTTTTATAAACGAACGTGAACTAACCTCACTTTAAATCGCAATTTCGTTGTGTAATCCGATGCCCGATTGTTCAAGCTTGTTTTAGAAAAAGAAAATGCTCGTTTGACAAAATGAGAAACGTTTCGCTGTATTATCTTCGAAAAATAAAAAAAGAAGAAAAAAAAGAAGAACAACGCTGCGTAAGCTCGTAAAAAATTATCTGATATGTACGGCGAAGAAGACTGAAAAGTGTGTCAATATTTGTTTGCTGAATTTGTGCTGCTGATATCAAATCGTTCTTGAAACTTCCTTTCGCAGGAGGGAAAGATAAAAAAAAAAACTTTTCTGAACGAGAAATCATGATATTGCAAGTCGAAAGATGGCGAAAGATAGTCGAACGAAACGGATATATAATATATTAACACATTCGCGACCGATAACGTAGTCCTACGTCATTTCAAATTCTTTAGCTGAATGCCGGTAACGTAGTTCTACGTCGTTTCAAATTTGTTAACTGAATTGCCGGCAACGTAGCCGTGCGTCATTTTAAAATTGGCGCTTCTGGTAGCCACGAGGCTGAATGCAATTTTTTATTTGATAAATGAGTGAACAAAAATACTGCAATTATCCAAACTCTAAATAATATCGCTGAATATAATTGAATATAGTTTACAAAGTGGGTGTTAATATAGTTTACAAAATTTTCATTAAATTACATATTTTCTTTACGTTATTTTAATTTAAAAGAAGTTAATTTAAAAGAAACCTACATTTATGGAAAAAGGAGATAATTTTGGACTGTGAGTCAAATTCAACAACGATAGTGACACAGGTAGCGATATCAATTCAAACAAAGGAATCTCAGAATAACAAGAAGCGACCAAGAGTCAATAGTGATGAACCTCTTATGTGGGTACTGACTGAGTACTCTTGCGGTACTCAATTATAAAATTTTGGAAATTATCCATTTTATAGTCGCCAAATAATGTGTTAAAAGTTTTCCCGTTCCTCACAAAAATGTTTCGCCTTTCATTTACGCACGAAAGGCAAAAAGCAACCTAATACTGTTCGAAACATTCGACGAGAGAGACGAAGATAGACGAGCAAGTAGAAAAAAGACGCGTAAGATTTATCGCGTGTTTTGAATAACAATGGTCGAAGCGGAGCCCGATCCGTTACTCGTCGTCGTGGGGTGACTAATTAAGCCGCAACGTCGAGTTGGTGCAGTTAATTGGTACACCGATTAAAAACACCAGGCCAAGCGTGGGGGAGGTAAGTATCGTTTCATGTGCACGTACAGGACAAGGTCAGAGTCCTGAGGACTGCACGGCCGTTCTCCGCTCGACAACAGCCGGATTCCTCTCTCGAGATGCCCCGCGCGCTCGGTGACAGAGAGCGCACACCAACACACGAGACTATAAAAATAATTCTGCAGACACCGAGGTTCAAGACCTCGATACACGCAGATAGTACGGTGGCACGATAACGTTATCCGTGGAATTATGGCACAGCTGTGCTTGAACATAAACACCAGCGAACAGTGGAGCGAGAAAAATACTGGTCCGTGAGACAAACATCAGATTAAGATTTAAGAGATGTTACACGCACGTATGTATTATCTCGTTTCGTTCGTCGTTTGTTCCTTGTTTGAACAGGAACTTCATGTCGCGAGGTTTCCACGTTTATGAACACTGTTCACAGGCAGAAGAAAAACTCAAGAAACAACTGTGATCTCTCGGAGCAGTGAGAGACAACAATGACAGGACATTTTTAAAGGTCATGTATGCAAAGGGAGCAACGAAAGATAACGTATAACAATGATAAGAATCTCTCTCTCTCTCTCTCTCTCTCTCTCTTTCTCAACAGGCGATACCTGTCCGGAATCTCGCGACCAGATTACGAAAACTTTGTTCTGACCTATTTCCAAAGATGCTGTGTGCCATATCTCCCGAGTTATCTCTATTTGAAACAATCTCTTACACGAAAGATTTAGTCTGTTAATGTATGGTATAACCTGCTTTCCTTTTTTTATTAAATTTTTATAGAAATTTTGGCAGTCTGAGAAACTTCTACCATACAGGAAGTTTGACAGACTCGCGAGGTAATTTTCGGTAGATCGGAAAAGGTCAGTCGGCTCTGCGGATTGATGGGATGTTCGACAGCACACGCGACAAAGGAAGTCGCGATGCAACGCGAGAACAAAAGTAAAGAGTAAAAACTTACCGAAAGGACGCTCGAAGCACCTCACGAAACTCCTTTGTATCCAGGGCAGTGAAAAATCCTCGTGGTGACAGCGCGATTAACGAGTTGCGTATACATCTAAACACACTCACTAGCACCACGAACCGAACACCGAACAAATTCGTCGCGCACGCCTGGCTTGACCTCACGATCTGACCGGTAGATCGGCAAGAAATTCACGAAAATCACATTGATACCGTACGACCGTCAGCTTGCTTCGGGGATCATAGACCAGCTGTGTTTTTGCCCGACCATTGAGTGACTCGTGCATGCGCACTGGCCGCCGCCCGCCATCTTGACTTTCTCGGGAAAATATATCGCGCGCAATTTCAAACCTGTCAATTTACATCCGCTAACTTTCTCGTCGTTGATGATACAATTTTTAATCCTCCCCCCCCTCCCACTCACAATTTAATCCCCTTGAAGTGTGAACGGCTTGACGAATTTTATTTATTATGTTTTCTACTAAAATTTAAAGTGTATTATTGAGTAAAAATATGCATACTTTTTACATTTTTGATAAAGAATGGTACTGATGAAAATGTTTAATAATTTTGAACTTTTGATAGCAATGTATAAAAATGTAAAAATATGTTTGAGAATGATAAAATAATTATGTTTTAGACTTATTGAAAGTTTAATGCAAGTATTAGTAATGTATTATATTGAGCAGAAAAGAAAAAGAGAAAGCTAAATATTAAGAAAAAAATATGTCTAGTTTAATTATTTCAAGAGTTATTTAATTCAAATGGGTACACGTACGTAGTACATTGCAATATTATATGATATATTTTAGAAATAAAATTCATTTTGCTATAAAAAAAAAGGGCCCCTCCGGGATTTGAACCCGGGACCTCCTGCACCCAAAGCAGGAATCATACCCCTAGACCAAGAGGCCATATGTTGAATTGCTTTACAATATATTATTATAACGTACATTGAAATTTAAATATATAAATAAATGTATATTCGTTATTATTATATGTAATGTATTAAGTATTACAAGTATAATATAATTAATGTGTTTACCATATAGTTATAAATAAATAATAAATTTATACAATGACAGATCAAAACTTTTAATCAAACAATTTATAGTCCTATTAAGACACAACCATATATAATTTATATGTAAGAATGTAAAAACTATAACCTTATCCCCAAAAGTCTGAGTCATTAAATACATACTTTAATTAATCAAACAATATTTAAAAATAACATTGACTAAACAGTACTATTTCAATCAGAGTACTCTTTACGCCCTCTGCAATTTGTTATAGTAAACAGAAATTATGTCTCAAGATGATAATGTCAATAGCATTGTTTTTATGAAAAAGTTAATTTCAGAAAGCACTTATAATAGAAAAATTTTGTTAAATATATCGGAGATTATGTTCATTATGTATAATTAAATAAAATAATTCATTAAATAATTCAGTAAAACAACGATACAATAAATTGAGATGAAGTGACACTTATGACACTTGTTTGACTTCGACTATTATCTAAAATTAAAGATACCGTTTAAATCAATTGTTTTATTTGATAAACGAACAATAATAGAGATAAGAATTATTTACCTTTATTTGAGGTTGGATCATCATCGTCTGAAATGCGCGCGCATTGATTTATGAATTCAAGTTAAGTAAAGATTACAGCGCCATTGCGGTGACATACATAATTACATATTGCGATTCTCGAACGAAGTAATCGATATTTCCCGCGATCGATTTATTGTATTGGCTGACAGTTGGCGTCAGTTCTTGGCGGGAAGCACAGTGACAAGAAGCAGTATGCGGAGCTCGTCAGGTAAACATTGTACAGGTAAACAATTTAAAAGAATTATTATTATTGTTCAATTTAGTTGCACGTTGGTTAGAAAAAGTAAAGTATATGACAATTTAGCATATAAACCTTTCATATCCGTATAAATACGATCATCATGTCATTTTAGAGCAGTCTGACAATTTATGATTACATATGCACTGCTAATTAAATGCTTTATCGCCTATCGTCGTTGCTATAAATCAATGTAATATTTAATCGTCGTATATTAGAACTTCTATGAAGACATGGAAATGTTTGATTTATTTTGACGAAGGCAAATTTTTTTCAGGAAGTGTCGCTATCGAGAATAGGTTTCTGCGCATCGTGTATTGCGCAGTTTCGTTTAACCGACAATGGAGGCGCGCCATATTTGAACATGCGAGGTACATTTGAAACTTTACTAACGAACATTCAGAGTGTAATTTTTGCAAATCAATAATGTTATAGAATATTCATAGGTATTTAAAAATATTAGGACTGTGTCCATTATCTTTTACGAAATTAGAGTCGTGTCAATGATCTTGTTTGTTTTTATGAACAAATTATAATATTTCACATGTTATAATATCTAATTTCTTCTTCCTTTTCAGGAAATGATCTAACGGTGTTTCAAAATTTTGTGATGGACTTGGCTATAACTTTTGCTGGATCACAACAATATCAATGACAATGTTCTTCGCATCTAATGGTGAGTCGCATGCATTTTTGTTGCTCTGGTCACTCATGCTGTAAAATGTAAGATGAATGGTCCGAATCGACATGAGTGACTAATTGTATTACGTAGAACTTTAAATAAGTAGTCACAGCGAATATTTATTACATTTGTAAGTAGTAACACTCCTTTCTATCAAGTAGTAGATATCAATAGTTCTAATAATTTTTAATTAATTTATATCAAAACAGTGCAATTCTTTTGTTTTCATTTTTCATCTTGTATATTAAAATATACAAAAAAACATTTCATTAAGGATGATATAGGAAAGATAATCTTAATATAGAAAATTCCAAATTGGTACATTTTTTATTCAACATGTGAAAGGGATATGTTAAAGTTAATACCAAAACTTGCAACTATATCTATAATTGTATATACTATTACAAATATCAATTTATAATAGAGGGTGTTCCATTTTCTTTAGACACTATGTCTTTTATACAAGCAATAACATCATACAAATATGGTATATTAGTTCTATGAAAAACAATGTCGCCCAGAGGTATTTCCGTGATACAATAGTTCAGCTGGTCGCAATAACAATTACAATATACTGCATAAATAGCAATTGCATAAGACAAAGTTGTATAATAATTCCCTTTTTTTATCTTAAACATCGACTATTATCATCTGTGGTAAATACATTTTACAGCTTTACGGATTTAATTGACGATCGGTGAATATTAAGATTACAATCATACGATGTCATATAAGTCATAAAATTACATTTAGATCGGATAGCAGAGGATAATACAATGATAAAATTCTCGATAACTTTGATAACCGTTTTTGATTCAGCATTTTTAACTGTGATTATTCATCCCATACATAGAACAATACAAGAAGCGTAATGACGATATATCAAGCAAACGTTCATTGTATTATGTTCTTCTGTTCTCATTACTATTAAAATTAGAACCTTACGAATGAATTATTTCAACTTGACAAGTAATACTTATACGTAATAAACATCGAAAAGGACTACAAGTGCACTTGCCCATATTACATTTCGTTACAATTGGTACTTATAGCTCTCCCGTTAAAAACGAGACGCTATTTTCGATACGATATTAAAAAACAACGATACATTTCTTTACAATAATTCTGGCAGTGAACAGCTTTTACACGAAATACCCTCCGTACAAATGCAAATCGTATAAACGTACCTGTACAATTTTAAACAACCCTCGAAATAAATAGTCTCACATACATGTACAAATACCGCGAAACCCTTTCTTCATTTATTACATCTACAATAATAATAAATAAGCGCGCTTTCTTATATAAATTCCTTGAAGACCAGAGGGAAAAAACATGATAAATCTGGTTATGTTAACGTTCCAATTTGAAGTATTACAGTGCATTAACGTATTTGATAAATTTATGAAACTTTGTAACAAACCAAAGACAATCAATATTTTTCAAATATTCGAAGATTATGCCAGAAATATACGTATTATAAAATCATACAAAATTAATCAATTACAATTGTTTTTCCCGGTAAAATAATTATTTTATGGTGTATCTTCCTCCTGTGATCTTCGATCGCAGTCACAACAAATAAATATCCATTCTATCCCATGTACAGTTCAGCATCTTTTACAATTGGTTATTTTACGATAAACTATAATGAAAATTATAAAAATGTACAGCCACCTATGTCGATAAATTATCTTTAAATATCTCTCTTCGAATGAAGTCGACTTACCAAGTCGAAATGTTACATCAATCGATACTCGATTTAATAGAGTAACAAACTGTCAGATTATCATTTATGGATCGATTATAGGGTTTATTGTTGATGGCGTGGTTGGTGTTTCGTGCTGTGTATCATTCAACATTAAAGTTGTCGGCTCCTCCCGCGAGTTTTGAGTTCTGTTCCCTGGAGGTATGTACGTCCACCAAGCCAAGAAAAAGAAAAGGAGGGACGCTGCTTTACCGATGAAAGCTAACGCCAGCATATACCTAACAACGATAACATTGTTATTTTCTTATTTTCAAATTTATACGAAAATATGGGTTATTATTATTCTGAAGAAATTATTAGATTTATAATACAATGACAGGCTCTATGAATCGTTGATCATTTTAATTTTTTGGTCGACACATACACTCTCGTCCCTCAGTCACTGGACACTTGCTTATTTTGATCCAAACAGTTGCTAGAACACAGATATATTTTTCCGGATTAATTTTATTATACAATCTTGTTATATATACTCTATTTATTCTATTTTATAATAATACTTGAAAACAAAACTGATATTTAACGTATATGGTCTGAATATTAAATAGAAGTATGCCACGGTTATTTCTGGCCTTCATATTTGCACAAAAATATAAGATACATTATATCTTTGTAACTTGGTAAGATATTTGACATATAGAATATGACACGAATATAGAATATGACATATGTCAAACTGTTTATATGTCAAGAATCTTACCAAATTGTACATAATGTATCTCATATCTTAAATATCAGTTTTGTTTTCAAGTATTATTATAAAAGTATTATATAAAGTATTATTATAAAATAGAGTAAATAGAGTACATATAACAAGATTGTATAATAAAATTAATCCGGAAAAGTATATCTGTGTTCTAGCAACTGTTTAGATCAAAATAAGCAAGTGTCTGGTGACTTATGGACAGGAGTGTACAAAGTGTTTATAAGGTTTCTTCCAAATATTTTTACAATTTTACAATAACCAGAACTGAGTGGTTATCTCAAAAATTCTTGCAACTGGGCTTATTTACAGTTTCTTCAAAAGTTATTCATCTCTATTTTTATTTATGCTGTGATTATTACAAATCTAGTACATACCTGCTCATGTAGGGGAGTGTACAAAGTGTTTATAACGTTTCTTCTAAATATTTTTACAATTTTACAATAACCACAACTGAGTGGTTATCTCAAAAATTCTTGCAACTGGGTTTATTTACAGTTTCTTCGAAAGCCATTCATCTTTGTATTTATGCTGTGATTATTACAAATCTAGTACATACCTGCTCATGTAGGGGAGTGTACAAAGTGTTTATAAGGTTTCTTCTAAATATTTTTACAATTTTACAATAACCACAACTGAGTGGTTATCTCAAAAATTCTTGCAACTGGGCTTATTTACAGTTTCTTTGAAAGTCATTCATCTTTGTATTTATGCTGTGATTATTACAAATCTAGTACATACCTGCTCATGTACAAGTTGTCATAAACAAGGCAAGATCCTCCGCCGTCGCAGGTTTCGTTCCACAAAATGCAAGTGTCGTCTATAAGGGCACCGAACACCATAGGTGCAGGTATGGTGCCCAGAATTCGGACCTTGATCCACTGAATGCCAAGGGCGAACGATCTCTGATCGTCTCGAACGACGCGGAGCGTCGCGGAGAGCGCTGGCATCGTGCAAAGGAACGTGATGAACATGTTGCAAAACGCCAGAACGATGAACGGCCATAGGTAGGAGCACGACGTGTTGCAAGTCGTGTTTATTGCCTCGTAACTGACCACGTTGTCGGCGATGGTCAGATTTATCGGTGGCGTGCGTATGCAAGTGCAGTCTGAATACACCTGGAAAACAAACAAAAGATTAATGTCACCGGTGGCATAACTAATGAGTTACTTTCTCTGTAGAGCAAAAAATTCACGAGATATAATTTCCACTGCGATGATGAAGAATGGATATTTCATTTCCATCTGGAAGCATGTAAGAGGCTCTATAAAATTTAATGACAATTATAATTATACTCTAATATTAAAACACTGCAGTGTCGTCACTTGTCGCAGTGTTTCATTTCTTACAAGTGCAATGATATCAAGTTTAATCTTAACAATTTTTTTAAAAATAATCAAGCAAATAAAGATAAAATGGAATTTAATTCATAAGAACATCTCAGAGTTTCGCTTCGAGGAATCTGAATTAATAATCGGTGCTTTGCGACTGAATGTACGATAGTACACTCTCTGTGCTAATTTAAGACAGAGCAGTCCTGTCTGTCTGTAGTAAATATAGACGTTCGTGGAAATATCTACGAAGCGCACGTTCGAAATGGCAACGATTGGAAATAGTGGTACATATATGGCGTCTAAGAAACAGACTCGACGTTCACAAGTGTGATTAAGAAATCGCTACTAACTTCGACGTTATTTATCCTCGTTCCTTGGTAACATCCGGCGTGACAAGGGGAGTAATACGTGATCCCATCGACTCCGCATATAGGGCTGAACTCCGACCTCGAACAACCGCAGCCATTATTGCACGTGCTGTCCAACGAGAAAGGTTTCCTGCGAACGTAATATTTTTTAATCACGGGCATTTACATATCGTAACGCGTGACACGGCGTATGGGATGTGATTTGCATAAACCAGCGTGAAAAAAAAAAAAAAGAAAAGAAATGGAAACGCAAAAAATGGGCGAGAGCGCAGAAAACACACAAAAGGCATGGAAAATTGTAAATGTGCACGTTCGCTGGAGAACGCGATGTAAAAACAAGTGGAAGGATGGAGTTTTTTGATACGAGTCGGAATTAGTTTGACGGGTAAACAAAATTTCGCGTGCAAATTTCGGCGAAAAAAGAGAAAAACAAAAAAAAAAAAGAAACGAAAAGGACAATCGAGCGTACTTGGCCTGGTCCGTGTAGGGCACGGTGACTCCGGCGAAGTTCAAATTCGGGCAGTTGAGAACGAAGCACAGAGTGAAGGCGATGCAGGACGCGGTGGCCAACAGGCAAAACTTCAAAATGCCGGAGCAGGACAAATTAAAACGCTTTATGAGGTAACCACCGAGGAAGGTACCGCCACCGCCTGCGGGCACAGTCACTAGACCTAAAAAAGACAGAAGGAGAAAAACAAATATAAAAGCCGTCCATTTCATTCTGCTTTTCTTTTTTTCTTTTTTTTTTTTTTTTT